TTTTAGATAAAATATTTTTAGAAACACCTGTAATTGCAACTTCTTTTGCAAATCTTTTAGGTAATACTGTCGAAGCACTACTACCTGATTTAATTTCGTCTGCTGAATAGTCGGAATCCTGACAAGAAGAGACCTTACTTTGTTCTGATGGTAATACAGAATTTTCTCAGTTTCATCTTCTTGTTGCTCAATAAATGTTAAATATCGCAATCTTCTTTCTTCTATTTTTTTCAGCTTTCGGCAATATGCTAAATCCTTTGAAACAAGTGTCATTTTACGTTTCGTCATTTGATCATTTAAAAATTGCTTATCTAAATTCTATGAATTTAGGTTGTTTCCATGTTTTTTCTTCAAGATGGAGCAAATTTCAAGTTTTTCAATCCAAAAAACTTTCTTAGAATTTCTTTAAAGATGTTTCTAGCTAATTCTGCTGAGTTGCTTTTTTTATTTTTATTCAACATTGCCCATTTTTCAACTAGATCATTTAATAGTTTCCTAGAACATTTAATATTTATTTAACTTTTTTTAAATTGCTTTAAAACTTTTTAATGTAGCCTCATATCAGAAGCAGAGTGAAAAGAGTCATGTTAACAAACTAATATAAACAAAAATAAAATTCAGTAAAAATAAAAAAACTCTAATTATACACCTTTTCAAGATGTAATTGAGAAAGCAAAAATTGTAATTAAGAATCGTAAGATGTAATTGAGAAAACAAAAGTTGTAATTAAGAAACGTAAGATGTAATTGAGAAAACGTAAGTTGTAATTAAGAAACATAAGATGTAATTTAGAAAACGAAAATTGTAATTAAGAATCGTAACATGTAATTGAGAAAATGTAAGTTGTAATTAAGAAATAGAAAGATGTAATTGAGAACACGAAAATTTTAATTTAGATATCGCTTTAAAGGAGAAAGTGTAAAATGGCGCTTAAAAAAAATGGCGCGTAAAAAAATGGAGCGTATAAAATGACGCACTTAAAAATGACGCAAGATTTGTAGCGTAAATTTAATTTTTTAGGGAAAAATTTAGGGAAAAATTTATAATTTTTGGGCAAATGAATTTAACATAATAAACACTAAAAACATTTTAGGGAAAAATTTATAATTCAATTAAAAATTATAATTAAAATTATATAATTAAAAATCACTTCATTGATCATTTAAGCACCAACTTGTACGTCTTCCATATTTAAAATAGTTGCATAGTGCGTGGTTGTGTGTTGTACCGCACGTGCACAATCTCCTCCCATTATAGTATTTTTCGCCTCAATTACAATTCGTTCTAAGTACTGCATGCGCTGTTCCGCAATCCCGTCACCTAATACAGGTGGAATGCGAATTGCATTTTTAACGTTACTTTTAATTTTGGACCAGATCGTTTCCACCGGGTTCAACATTGGACTGTAAGGTCCCAAACGTAACAACTGAGCTGGTGAATTATCGAACATCCTTTGCAAACGAGCGTGACAAGGAGCATTATCTGTTACGACGACCAAATCCTCCAAACGATTCCCGGATGTAACCCACTGGTGAAACATAGCCAACATCCACTCGTTAAAGGAATCTGCTTTAAATGATCCCCTGCGAGTTTCTATCATGACGACATTTGTAGTTGAAATAGCTGCGATCAAGTGTATGTTTAAACCTTTTGAAGCAGGTACTTTCATAATTGCTCTTTTTCCTTGTCTCGCGCGTCCTTGCGTTTTTCTACAAAAAAGGTTAAAATTTGTTTCATCCAACCAAACTATCTGACGACCATTTGTGATATGTTCGTTGATGTTTCTAACATATTCAGCTCTTTTTTGTTTGTTTTCATAACTGTTCATTGTAGAAGGCTCCTTGTGCACTTTTTTTAATGAGAACAATCTGCCTTCGAGGTAATTTGCTATTGTTGTTGTGCTAACGTTTATGTTAAATTGTTTTAATATCTTTGTTTTGATGGCCACCAATGTTAATTGACAATCATTTTCAATCCATGTTAATGTTTCTTCGATTTGATGTTCGGTCAACTTTTTCGGTTTAAAACCTCCTTTTCCGATGAAATTTGAATTTCTGCTGCGAACCCAATTGTATGCTGTCTTATATTTGATACCTAGCGTTTGCGCGAGATTCACCCAATCTTCAAATTGCTCCGCACATTCAACAACTCTTCTCCTGTCATTTGGAGAAGATAAAACGTAACGTTTCCTTTCAACTTGTTCAGTTGTGTGTATTTTATGCCGACAAATCGGACAACTTGAATCTGGTTGTTCCAGAACTGGACGTAAACAAATTTGGTGACATAAATGTTGACACGGATTTAGCTTAATCACAGACTTTCGGGTCATAGTGTATTGGCATATAACACAACGATCTTTCAATTCCATTATTATTACTTGTGCATACAAAAGCAAAATTTAAGATTATAACTTAAATTCATGTCCAAAAAAAATTTACATGTTGTGTTTCTCAATTACATATAACGTTTTCTCAATTACATGTTGTGTTTCTTAATTACATATTACGACTTCTTAATTACAACTTTCATGTTCTCATTTACATCTTGAAAAGGTGTAGATTATTTAGCAAACCTTGTCATAAAATATGCCGCCGTCATATCCTCCATTAGCCCACGCTTTCTTTATTGCAAAAAGAATGCAGTTCTGAGAACATATTGCTAGTTCAGATCATGCTAACATCATTTTATCTTGGGAAGTACAACCAATCAAAGTTTTTGTGGGAGTATTTTTGTCTAACAGACGCCTGAGTTATTAAGATTAAATTTATATATTTCGTTTTCAAACTAAACTTTAATTACTTAGTTAATATATTGTTATATATTAAAAAAATTTTAATATATAGTTATATATTAGAAAAATTTTTAATAAACGATTTTTATTAAGAATTTATGGATCTTTTATTTTCATGATATTTTGCCAAGTTTTAAATGTTTTAGCTTAAGTTTCTCTTATTAATATTACATTTGTTTTTTGTTTGATAGATTATTCCTAGACATGAATGTGATCGAGTTAAACAAGGAGGCGCCAGAGAAAAAACTTTTAAAACAGTTATAAAAACAAACAGTTAAAAGAAGCCTGTAACTAGGAAGTTCTTAACAGACATCATATCTAACCTGATCAGTAGTTTAACTAGTATTTTAACCGGTATTTTATTCCTTGGGTTGTTGCAACAACAACAGACAATAGTTTAAACTATATATGTTCCTTCAATCAGTTTGGTTTAGTCAAAGAGATAAAGCAGAGAGAAGAGAATTTTGAGAAGACCAACTTGACGCCTTTCATTGTTCGAGTAAGGTCGAGAAAGTTGCAATCTTTAATAACACCGTCATTGTACAGCTTACACAATGAACGATTGCAAGAATTCACAGAAAATGCCAGGTTGGAATTCGATTTCCAGGCTATTTATTTTTAAAGCCATAAGCTAATGGGGAGAGAATGCCCAATATGGGAAGACTGTGATGTTAAATGAAATTAAAGCAGCCCTGAATAGGAAGTTTAAAACACCAGGGATCACCTGTCAATTAAATTCCATAATTTTTTATATTTTTTTTGTTACGTACAAATATAACAATCTAAGTTTTATAACAATGTTTTTATTAGGACAGCCATTAAAATCTTTTTTTAACTGTTTAACATTAAAATCAAGATAAATTTATGAAACCTTAGCTAAATTTGCCTGCATTTTATGATAGTGTGACAAATAATATCAATACTTTTAAAGAAAAAACTCATATCATTAATACAACAGAAAGAATCACTTGGAAAATCAAAAATTTTATTATTTCTCCTATTAGCTAATTAAAATGAAATCTCTTTTCAATTATTGCGTAATAATTCATTGTTCCCAAATATTTTTAGGACTCTCTTGTACGCGTGTCTAAAGACAACACCATCAGACGTGCCAATCTACTATTATTTTTTTTCCTAATCTGCTTGTAAAAAAGGTTTGTTAGCCAAATATAAAAATAATGTATAAATAATATATACAAAAAGGATAAGGTTTATTCATCTTTTAACTGAATAAAAGCTTTGTTTCTTTTTAGGTTTTGTCATCTTTTTAAAGACAAGGACCTTTTTATGGCATCTTACGTGCATCCTTATTATAAGCTGCTAGTTGTCAGTTACCTCGTCAAATAGGCGGCACAATAATAGAAGTAAACCGATTCATGATCAACACCAAAAAATTAGATTTTGTGTCAAACTTCAACAAGAATTACTAAGCGGATATGCCCAGCTCTGGTTAAAATTATTAGTTAAAAAAAATATAATAAGGGATTTTTTTACGCAAGCATATTTGTTAACAAACATTTACAAAAATTTGTTTAGTTTAGTACAGTGAGCGAGCGATGATTTTTTCTTATTAAGAGGTAAATTATGTACAGAGTCGTCCTAACAGGGGGTGTAGCGGTATCCCGTTGCACACCCTAAAGCTGTTATATGTGCACTTAAGTTGGCAGATTTGTACATTTAGCATTTGAGTTGGCACTCGCGGCCGTCTTTAATGGTGTGCGAAAACTTTATTAAAACGTTAGTCAACCAATCTGGAACTTTAATTGAAAAACGTTAAATAACGAGGATTTTTTTAAATTATCAGTTGGCAAAAAACATATATACCACATTCCCTTGAGAGAACCTTAGGGACGTAAGCTATTAAATTCTTTTTTTTTTTTTTTTTGACGTAAAAAAAAAAAAAGAAATATTTTAATTAAATAAATTGCGTTAATATATATATATATATATATATATATATATATATATATATATATATATATATATATATATATATATATATATATATATATATATATATGTATATATATATATATATATATATATATATATATATATATATATATATATATATATATATATATATATTGTATATATATACGAATATTTATTAAATCACAAAGTTGTAAAATTAAAGAACAAAAAACAAAACAAAATAAAATTCGCACATTCCCCTCGGCATTTGAACGAAAATAAATGTTCGTTCAAGCACTCGTTAAATACGCAGTGAAAACTCAATCTTATTTACATTACCTTTTGTAAACACAACCTACACAAGAAAATTCAAAAAAATAATTATTTACAGCTTATTTGAACAACTATATTTTTTTAATACGAAAATGTCTTTAACCAGGTTTGTTTTTTCATATTTTTTCAGATGGTATATGTATGATTTTGGTATATGTATGTATTTTCAGTATATGTAAAAGCATATAGAGTAGGGTTACCTTTTTTCTGAAACACAAGTTGAGGACACGTTTTTTCGTTAAAAAACTAGTACACATACTCGTTATCCCTCCTCAAATTCGAGTATAGTTTACTTTCACCAAGTAAACTAATTTTATCCGTAACTTTAGCAATGACAATTATTTAAAAAAAAAAAAATTATTTTCATATAAACTAATATAAACAATAAATGTGCAACTTTTAAACTCAGTAAAAAATACTTTTCCATTTTTCAAGGTAAGCAGAAATGAATTGTACATTAGCAACGCATCTGTCATAAATAAATCACACTCTTTGTCTTTCCCATCTTCTCTTAGATTTTGCAACATTGATTTAGTATTTCTAATATAGTATTTACCCAGTTGACTAGTAGCAGGGTGGCCAGCCAATTTGAAATCAGGGAAATTTTTTTAAGTCAGGGAAAAGTCAGGGATTTTTTTTTTCCCCAAAATTTAGTGACAAAAATTTTTTTCAAAATTTCTTTTTTTATATATATAAATATATATACTCCCTCACAACCATCAATCAAATAAAAAATTTTAATTCATTTTGCCATATATTCATAAAATCATATAGAAAAATAAAATATGATTGCATTATATTATTACCTAAAGTTTGTTACATATATTTGAAATATATAATTCTATTTAAATATATGATTTTATTTAACTATGTCAATACAATAATGTATGCGGAAATCATTAGCAATATCAACTTTAATAGCTTCTGAATCATTGCCAATAATATTCTGTGTAGCCGAATCTTTTCAATCAATGCCAATTGTTTAAACATACTTCCTGCACAATGGTACCACCTTTCTCTTTATTTATGGCTCAAATCTATGTAATACATTCTGAAATACTATAAGCACTGTATGTTACACAGCAGTATTTCTGTAACATTATGTTGGAAAATAGGACAACTGTTTCAGTCTATGTTTCCTGACAGTTTTATAGCAAAAAAAAAAATGACTATTTGGAAAACTAAAGTATCCCATTATTATATGTTCTAATTTGTACTCAAGAAAAAACAGAATGATTGATTTACTCCTTCATAAATCTAAATGGATTAGAGCTGCAATGGCTGATAAGGTCAATGACCAGTATCAAGATTTATTTAATCTTGCAAAAGGTATCCATAGAAGAATTTACAAATTGCAATGTTTATAAGGATATGTTGAATGTTTTCTTTACCCCTTTTATTAGCCAGAATTTTAATGATTTATTTGAAGTTTCTGAAATTGACTTCACTTTGTCATATGGTAATTCACAGGTTAAAAGTGGGTTTTCTATCAGATGTTCTTGTTGAAATTTGCACAAGAGCTCTGTGTTAGCCCAAATTCAAGTTTATGATGGAATTCACTATGTTGTTAGAGTTTGCAATGTGGAATTAATGAAATCAATGGTCAAAAGTGTAAACATGTCCCATTTATTCTACAAAGATTTATTAAAATGAAAAAGAGAAGAAAACTTGCAAGAAGAAAAAGACTGTTGATAAAAAATTAGCTCTGCAGAAAATTAAGAAATTATATTAAAAAAACAGAAAATTAACATCATCAGAAAGATATACTTGAGATTGAACTAGAATTAAAAATTCATAATAAAAATATTTTTATGAAATCATTTATTTTTTAGCTTAAAATAACTGATATATATTTGTAAAATTAGCTTATATCTTTACTCTTTTGTCATTTTTCAATAAAATTTATTAATTGAAAAATGACAAAAGTGGCTGTATTGTAAAAAGTGGCTGGCCACTCTGAATAAGTTGTAGTTTTGGTATCCAGGAGCTCTAAAAATATAAAAAACTTATGTACGACTAATACAAAGTATAAAAAAAGACTTTTAGGTAAGAGGAACAATCAATTTTTGAACTCGGAGTCCTTAGGTATAATGGCAGGAAGGACTCCATAACTCTAGATTTTAAAGTAATAGGTTTCAAGTTACTAAATCTCATAAATCTTTTTCTTACAGCAGATCATTAGTCAACCAACATGTTTAGAGCTTCTGGACACTAGAGATCAGGAAAAAATAGAGATATAAAGCTGGAATTCTTTTGGAGCTCCACATCCCTGCTTAACAGAATTCAGACAATCTACAGTTTCAATTATTGATGTCTTTGACTCTTCAACTTTTAAAATAAGTTCTTGAAAAATACAAACAAATGACTTCAAATGCCATTAAGATACTTCCCTTATTTCATTCTCAAAAAAACTGTTTGGTAAATTTAGGTGGTTCATCAGTGGGTAAAAAATATGATTTAAAAGGAAAAGTACATTTGTATCAACCTGGTTAGTCCAGGATAGAGTGATAACCCCCTTGTTTTAGTTTCAAAAACAATCTTTCTGGGAGTGTTGCTTCATCAACTGAGGGTTTGTTAACATTTATTGCAATTATGGCCAAGGTTTCTTCGATTTCATTTGCAATTGTGACAGCAAATTTACTTGGAGTATTTTTTACATCCAACAGTTTAGACTGCAGAGCACACTTTTTCCAATCAAAGTATTGAATTACAATAGGAAAGGTCTCATGGCTTCTACCATCAGTTGCTACTCAAATGCACAGGATTATTTGTTCTTCTATATTTTTTAGCACATATCGGACAGCATTTGGTGCAAGTACATTTAATCTTTGTTCTATAACATGAATATTTTTTTACAATTTAAGAATCTAGAAAATATTTTGCAACTAAGGCAGAGGTGCAATCATTAGATTTGTAACTATAATGCAGCTTCATTTTATGAAATGCAAAAAAGTGGCTTTGGCAGCTGCTACTTGATCCTCTAATTTTGAGTTAGATGTACACAAAAGTCAGTCATTTCGCAAGAAGAGCTTTGTCCTCTAATATATTTTTTGTGGTTTAAAATATCTAAATGAGCATCAGGTTCTGTGCCATTCCTACAAGAATGACACTCAACCTGATATTTATTTTGTCCTTTTTTGAAGGATGGGTATTTATCTTGTAACTCAGCTGAAAACTGTGTTTTTCTGTTCAGCATTATTTTAAAATTGTTTAAAACTGTGTCATAAAAAACAAAAAGTTATAACTTTAGTTCTTCACATATTTATAAAAATGTTAACTTTAGTGCTCTACACAGTAAATTTACTAGAGGTTAAGTAAAATAATTATGATTAGCAAGAAATAATAAAAATATTTTATAAATTTTTAAGAATAGATGTTAGTGGATTGTTATAGATATTAATTTATCAACATATAGTAGCAATAAAAGTCTTTTTCTTGCGACAATATGTGTAATTACTTTTCTTGTGACAATATGTGTAATTACTTAGTTATTTTTTGCAACTTTGATATCAACAACCTTATTAATCTAATTAATTAATTAAATTGTTTAATATTAAAAAATTAATCCTTTGGTAGATGTATTAAAATAATTAATATTAATATATATATATATATATATATATATATATATATATATATATATATATATATATATATATATATATATATATATATATATATATATATATATATAGATAATAAATAATTCAAAATTAGATATATTATATTCAATTTATATTTAGTTATTTTAAATATAATCTCTAAAAAAACTTTGTAAAATAAAACCACATCAAGTTTATGCAATTTTTCAAGAATGATCAAAACTAAAAAAAAAAACCTCGCATTATAGAGCTTTATAATTTGAATTTACAAATCTCAATACATTTAATGCATTATAAAGCTTTAACATTCAAATTCACAAATTTCAATTTGTGTTTTTTATATTTATGGTAACAACTACAAAAACTTTAATAACATACCTTTCAAAGTTTTAGTTAATAGTCAATATTATTTCAATAAATATATTATGCCTCCTGGATCTGAAGGAAACCTAGCAGGTGAGCTAAGTCAGTTGACTCAATTGTTAATTACTTTTCTAGAAAGGTGGTGCTTAAGATTTTAAATGGAGTTAAGAAACAATACAGCAACAAAGATAGAACATTGTGGCACCGTTAAAGTTTGTTAAGCAATAATGAACTATTAAGCAGTAATGAAAAGAAATTTTTTCTCAGGAGAGATAATCTTGTAAAAAAAGATTAAAAAAATGATTGTAGTTTGATGTGAACAAGAAGTTGAACTGCACAAGAAGGTGAAAAATGTGAAGTAGAATGAGACTGACAAGAAGGAATAAAAGCTTTTATGCCGGATTCAAGCGGTTAAATAAGAGGTTCATTTATGCATACATAATATGGATATAATTTGATATAAGCCTATATATTTGCTATTTATTTAAATGTTGACACATCTTTACATATTTTTATGTAGTGTTTGCCAAAAGAGATGACAGCACAAAAGGAGTAAATGAGCAGTAAATGAGCAGCAATAAAGGAGTAAAACTGAGTAAATTAAGTAAAATAGAATAAATAGTTTGTTAAATTTAAAATTTTGTTTTTAAAATGTTTTTACTTAATATTATATAACTAAAAGTTTAAATAGCTTTTTAAAAACTATTAAAACTTTATAGTTCTTTTTTTTTTAATAACTTTTTGGTGCATGTAATTGCCCGCCATTTCCACCAAGGCCTGCATATATACATATAAATGCAGTTTTATGCAATCTTCGATATAAAATTGTCCAAATAATATAAAATAATAAATATATGAGTTATGAACGTAAATCATTAGTTTTAAGAAGTTATTTTGTTTAATATGTATTAATATTTTACTTAAAGATGCATTTGATTCGTGCAATGAAATAAATAAAAAAAGTTAGAACTAAACTTTTTCACTAAAAACTAGCATTGTATAAGCGAATTTAATTTTAAAAACAAAAAACTTTAAAACATAATAGATTTTCAATACACATAATTATGTATAAAAAAAAAATATTTTTTAATTACTAAAATAGTTTCTTATTTTTGTTTTCAGATTACTTCCAGCCCCTGTTCAATTAATGACACTTCATGATGACAATGATGACGAGTTAGAAGCTGCTTATTATGGTGGTAATCAGGTGACATATTTTAAAAAGTGTATTAATTTTGTGTTTTGAAATACGTCAATTTTTCAGATTCTTAATCATAGTCATTTATTTAAACTCAGATATACTATTGTTAATCTGATAGTTGTCAGCCAAAGCTTTTATTTAAACTCGGATTTAAACTATTAATCTGATAATTGTCAGCCAAAGTTTCTAATCATAACAGAATAAAGAACCTAGAATAAAGGAAATATTTAAAAACAAATTTTATAAAACCTGGGTTTTTGGTGAATTTTAGTTCAAGGCTCTACACAGTTATGAAGTTTGGAGCAATCAATATATAATTTAAAAAATGATTGCATGTATTTTTATTAAAATACTTGTTGTAATATCTATTTTAATGAAAAATTTTTTGATTATAAAAAAAAGTTTAAAACTACTAAAAATGTTAAATCTTTATAAATTGTTAATATTTGAAATTAGAAATTATTTGAATGACTTCTATTATTCAAATTACCTAAACTTTTGTTTAATTCTTGATAACATTTATAATAAAAAAAACTTAAAAAAGATGTTTGTGTAAGTTTCTTGTTTTATTCAGCAAATGTTATGATAAAGAAAAGAATTGTTGTGATTTAGGAGAGTAAAATCCAATTAAAACTGTCAAATTTTATTTATATTTATCATATCCAAAAGCCAATAAGGTATCTCAAAGTTACATTAGTACAAATGTTTATATTACTTTTCCTATGTTCCCTTTCCCTTTTCACTATGTTCCTAAATGAAGTACAGTTGATACCTTTTCCACTTGGTTTAAATTTGAATTTTACCTTTGGTGAAACGGTAAGCCAAGCAAGAATAATCAGCTAATGTTTTGCTTTGTTAGAAGTGAATTGTTTAATATGAATTAGATCTTTTCATCAACAATAAATTTTGAATAACTTATGTAATTTAGTAATGACCTAGATTTCAGTCAAGCCAAAAGTTGCTGTTTGAGTTTGTTTTAGTTTGTTTATAGCATAAAATAGGAGTCTTTTTATTCCTTAATAATCCATGATTTTGTGGCTAGGAAAAAACTTTTTTGCGACTTTAGCTATTTTTTAACCTTCTTCTTTACTTTTGTAATGTCATAAAAATTAGATTATGATATTATAAAAATGTGTATCTGTATTATAATTAATTTTGATTAGTTTTCTTATGCTTGTAAGATCTATTCCTCAGAAAAAGACTATCATAACATTAATGATATAAGAATGCTCCAATAATTAAAAAAAAAAACTTGTGTGTTAATCAGTGAGCAACGATAAGGTTTCATTTTTGTGCAAAATCTTATTTAATATTTATAGTGTTATTTATAATGACTTATTTTAGGTTATTTATAATGACTTATTTAATGTTATAAGCTAAGTTTTTTTTTGTTCAGCTGAAAAATAATTTTAATTGCATTCTAACCAACATTTAAACAACTTTTTTTTAATATCTAAAATCGTCTAAAATAAAACCATATTAATAAAACTAGAACAAAACCTCATAAATAAGTAAATAAATGCTGACCTATATGCTGACAGAGTTAAAGATTGGCAATTTTTTGCCAACTTTTTTTATGGTGAAATTATAATTTCTAATAAAATGGTAAATGCTGCTTTTGTTTTTCAAATTTTTAAGTAAATCGTTTTGCCATTTGAAAAAAATGTTGGCAAACTTGGTGGGTTTTTTTCTGTTATTTTTATATATAAAGTTTTGCAAATTCGTTAATTTCTAAATTTCATGCTGAAAATGCTGAGGGATGCATGTCTGAAATCTTGAAAATGAGTAATTGTGTAATGCAAATTTTATATTGATTTTACATTGAAATTTTTTAATTTATAAAACACCAAGAAAGAAAAAAATCTTTTAAAATGAAACACTATGAAAGTAAACAAAAAATTATCAGGTAATAAATTTATTACTTGATAATTTTTTGTTGTTAATTTTTTGTTATTAATTGTTTTAATTAAATTGTTTTTAATTAATTACTTTTTAAATAAACTAATAATTTATTAATCATTTATTGCAAGTGCACGGAAGACAAAATACTTCGTCTTCAGTTTTAGAATAACAAAGCCATGAAACTTGTGCCAGTTTGGAACAAGTTTCATGGCTTCTTACATTAAAGGTGAAATTAAAACTCTAGGAAAAATAAAACACACATCCAGAATTATTTCTTTGTTGTAGAATTTGAATTATGATGATAGGCTTAAATGTCTTAATATCACAGATTTTTATACCAGAAGAACAAAAGGTAATTTGATTCAAGTAGATTAATTGTTATCTTGCACTATAAATTTCATATTTTCTCTTTCAGTATCTTCCAACTTTTATACTGATTTCTTGCAGTCTTGTCAGAAGGAAAGATGTTAATAATAAATAAATATATATATATATATATATATATATATATATATATATATATATATATATATATATATATATATATATATATATATATATATATGTAAAATTAAAAGTGATTTGGAAAATATGAAGTTGAATAATAAATTTCGAAAGCATTTCAATGTACCATAGGGAATAACTAAGAGTCGAAAGCATTTCAATGTAACATAGGGAATAACTGCAGATATGACTGTGAAATAACAAATTATTTTTTATACAACAGAGTTGAAATTCCTGTTTAAAATATATAAGTAGTGGTATAGTCACAGCAAAAAAGATGTTTTCTTAATAACATTATTATGTTTAACATAATAAACTTGATCTACATATAGGATAATTATAGCTTGACAAGAGTTCACTGTCTCAATTTCTTTTTCTGTTTTTTTAAGTCAGTCATTGCTTATCAATACTACTATTAAAGGGATCCCCAACTGCCAAGACAAGTTGTGTTTATATTAAAGAAAATGTTTCAAAAAAACATTTGGGCTAATTTTTTTTTGATTAAAACTATAAAATGAATGCATACCATTAAATTTTAACTTCACATTTTAGTCGAAGCTCGCCTTTCCCCGTTTTTTTTGCTTCTTAGAGTCTGTATAATGTTAGCTGCAATCTGCAGACTTGTTAATTTATTCCATGCATGTTTAATTCATAACAGTTTCGGTATATGATGTCAGTGTATAATTTTTTTCTTTCAAGATGTCGTATTATTTTTTTGCCAATATCATCAAATCATGCTAATTGTATAACTTTTAATAAATCCCCAAAAAAGTTATGATGCAATTAAAAATTAAATTTATAAAATTTATAAAAATAAAAAATTTATTATATAACAAATATTTACAGTAAACGTAGTGGTTTAAACTAAATATAAGCTAGATACTAAAAGTATAAACTGAAAAAAAAAACGAGTGACTTAAATAAAACATATAAACTGAACTAAGTAGAAAATAAATATTAAACAACTTATTTTACTAATAACTGTTCAAATCAAACTAAATTAAAGTTAAAACAAGTATTTGTACTAAAATATACAAAAAATAGCTATAATATAAATATAAAAACAAAAAATCGCATTAAATTGTTCGCTACCAGTCGAAGAAAAATCTTTTTGTAGCAACCGCACATTTTTTTGAATAACATTTGAATAGCATAACATTGACAATTAATTAAAATTCGATAATAATAAAGTTTTTAACACGCATTATTAAATAATAATAAATGCAGTTAAGTTAAGTTTTACAGTGTTAACGCTGTTTTATTTTATAACTACGTTTTTTTATGAACTTTGTGATTTTATTTGATTATGTAGAGAATTTTCTTGATTATGTAGAGAATTAATTAAACCTACAATTTATCTTGTTTTGTACATAAATTTTCATTCTAGACACATTTCTATGTGTCTAGAATGAAAATTTATGTACAAAACAATATGAATTAAATATAAAACGAAAAACCGCATCATACTGCCTTTATTTTTTCTCTGCCTGCAAACTCTAATCACAAAATATCTTTAATTGTGTCATGATTTTGGCTGGCTTCTACAACAAAGTAATAATAAAAAATTTATAAATATATAAGTATATATATATATATATATATATATATATATATATATATATATATATATATATATATATATATATATAATATATATATATATATATATATATATATATATTAGGGCTGTCCAAATAAAATTTTTTTTTCAGATTTGATTGCATAGTTGTTTATTTTGTGCCATTTGACATATTAATTAACTGTGCAAAAAATCTTTCCGATCAGATAATGTTTAGGGGGTGCTCAATGACCATAAAGTTTTACGAAAAATGTGAAAAACATGGAAAAAGTAACAAAGTTCCACAAATTTCTAAAACCCGGTTAATTAGATTTTTCAGATTTGATCAGTTTTAATTATCTCTAAATATTAAATTCTGAATACAAATTACAATCCACATCCACTTTATACTGGTTTATTAGCAGAGAAATTAATTAAATAAAATACTGCAATACGACTAAAGTTCTGCGGTTTTTGTTATATCAGAATTTTTCCAAAATAAAACACTAAGATTTTTGACTCTTTGTCATTGATTAAAATACGAATTATAAACAAAAAAAATTATTGTAAAGGAGTAACAGTTTCTCAAACCGTTATCAACTACTAAGTAGGTCAACTCAAAAACATATGAGCAATTAACATTTAATTATCGTAATGTTATAGTTCGTGCAATGTTAATGCTAGCGAGGACTATAACTCTTCAAAGTACACTTTCTGGCATCTGGCACTCGCTTTCTGTGATCCTCAACCACCTGAATTAACCTCTGCATTTCAGATTCATTCCTTGTAATTGATTCATTAAACATCGACATTAAAGCCACAGATCGTTCGGCAGCATCATTTACTACTTTCAATGAATATACTAAATTTTTTCTTTCTTGGTATTCTGGGGAATCATTCCAGGTAGCTGGATCGTTGTTGAACAGAAAATCAATATCAACCTTCATTGACCGCAACGCACTTGCTGAAACTGATGTCACCAGCATGTCCAGAGATTTCTTCTCTAGACTTTCAATGTTCTTTAATTTGAACAACCTTTCAG